ATTTCATTAATTTTTTTTCTCGTTTCTTTGTTTTTCATTGCGAATAATGTCGTGTATTAATACGTTTGTTGCAACATAAATGTATCACTGCAATAATATGCTACTAGATAAATTAGACAATTATTTGATTTATAAATATTATAGGTACCTATTGCACATTGATGGTAATAATATATAATTAATAAAATAACAAACCAAATAGTGATGATGATATAGTTTTACCAGAAAACAATCCCGGTAATTAGGTAATTATTGCAGGTTTTTACAATTTTTTTTTGCATTTACTGAAAAGCTTTGTACAAGTTTTTGTTAAGCATTAAAATACATAAAAGTGTATTTTTAAAAGTGGCCAAACACCGCAAATATGATAACCTTCATAAGAAAAACTGTTCATATATAATTCAGCAAAAATAGCTGTAAGATATATAATTAACATTACTATGCATTTATATGATATTACGATTGTTAACCTAATATAAATAGCAATCTTGTATATTATGTAACAACTATGATTTAAAATCAAAAACTAATAACGTATCTTTTATAGTTCAATAAAAAAAAAGGGTGGGAAAGTGGGTGTCGCTCTGCTGTTCAGTAGATTACCTACAAGCGGTTCACTGTAATGGATTGTGTTAAATTTGAATTCAATGATCTAAAACCATCTTATGATATAACTAAGTATATTTGATGATATTATTGTGAATAAAGTAATTTTATTTATATATAACCTATTTAAGTGGATCCTTGTCTTAAATGTTCAATCCTTAGCTATAAAAGTTGAGGATTTTATACATTTTTATATACAAAAAAATTTTAATTATAAATTTGATAAATGTTGTCAAAAATCGTACTTTAAATGCTTATAAAAAAAATTATGAATTTTTAATATTTTTTAACTGCTATAGTAATAATATATCTGGAGCCTTGAATTAAATGTTCGCGCTTTGTTATTTAACATTTACAATTTCATGACATTTATAGACAAGAAAATTAAAAAAACAACCAGTGAAAATTGCATGTATTGACGGTCATTCTATAACGATTTACAACAAAATAAGAAAATACTTCCTTAGATAAAATGGGTAGTTATAAACAAAAACTGCTTTGGATGTCATTTTAAAGCATTCCTGAACATAAACAGAAATTGTATAGGCTATAAGTAGTATAGTATATATCAGTAGCATGTACCTAGTATATGTAGTATCTACATGACTACACGAAAGCAATAACTCGTTAGTTGTCGTCTCGAAAAATCCAATAGGAACTCGTCGTCACAATAATGAACTTGACGGTCTTGCTACACGTGGGCGTGTGAGTCCCGGACATTCGGCGCCGGAGAGTCATATCACCTGTTGCACCTCTTATCAATATATCTAAACGATACCATCGTTATCTACGAGTCGTTTTGATTTCCTTGTGAAGGTACCGTGTAGGTATAATATTATAATCCGTAATGTCGTTTACCCGTAAACACATCACAGGTATTAAGAAATTGTTATTTCATAAACAGCAATAATAACAACAACAACAACAATAATAATAGTCTTTCCCATATAAACACTCTTGTACACATATACAATATCGTAATAGTTATTACTTATTAGGTATTATTTATAGTAGTGGGTTGAACACGAAATCATACTTTGACAGCGAGGTGTGTACAGATGCCAAAAACGTAGCATATACCTACTCGTATACAAGAGATGTACAAATTCAAACATCCTTTCCGAATGCTTAACGAGCTAAACTGTAAAACATATTCTCTACGACTACGGGCTATGACGACGAAAATACGTGTCAGCCTGTACAGTTATCAATGTAGGTAATAATATGCGTGTGTGTAGTGTTTATGATACCTACGAAGTACGAACTATGCATAAAAACATTTTATTACCTACCGAACTATATTACAATGACTTGGTACCTAGTTTTAATCCTACGAATATCGGTTGCCCGGCTGGCACTGTGCCTACAACACTCTAGGGGGGGGGGATAGGTATATGATACGAACTCAGCATGGCCTACGAATATTTTCCATTGCAATTTGGAATGCGCATTTGAAAAATGTCAAGCATTAATTTATATTATGGTATAATTACAGAGTTGGAATTAAAGTTATGAACAAAGTGTTGGGTGAGGGGGGAGGGCAGCTGCTTGGTTGACACTTTGACAGTAGTTTAGTCGCCAAATGACGACAGCGGGGGGCCACATAATGTTAACTTTCGGTTCACCTACTCATCTATATCCTTGTACAGAATTGTAAACAAATAGGTACGAGTTCAATCGATACGTTTAACCGTTTTTTCTTGAAAAATTAAATAAAAATAAAAATTGCACTTATGGTGGTCGAGCCATCGAGGACCTTCTTTACATAATAAGTGTTTAACGACAGATCTGTACCTATGTAAATGTTCCACTCCTAGGGCCAACGATGGTCTTGAATATTTATCAAGGCTATGTAATCTGGTGGTATCGCAATTCACCACAGCATATTTTACTCAATATTAGTTACGTATTTATATTTCAATGACTTTTTTGGTATTGATACTTTCTGTAATTTAAATGGCTAAATATTTTTAAAGGATTTAAACATTTTAAACGAATTCAATTAACTATTCATAGTATTACAACAAGTTAGACAAGACGTGTCCAAGTTTATTGTTTTGTATTGTGTATATTGTGATTAACATAGGTTCACTATTACTCAGGGCTTGCATTTGAAAAAAAAATTCCGCTTTATGTTATTTAGAATTAAATAGTTACACAACTTTAGCGTTTATCGTTATTCAGAATTAAAATGTCATACAAGTTTTATGTTTATCGTTATTTAAAATATCGTTAATACCTATTAAATTTAAAAATAATAGGTAACTAATGCGGGTAAGTAATTGATATAATATTGATATGCCTAATATATTTCAAAGAATTTCGCGGAACCCTAACTTAAGTTCAAGGCACCCTGGTTGGAAACACTATATTATACACTGTAGTCGTTTTGTTTTAAGTATAATAAAAATTTAAAAACCCACAAACCACAATCTATACTTTAGGAAAACATATTTTGAGATACTCTAGTACTCCACAATTAATTATGTAGATACTTAAATGTCGGTGATAACATAAACTACGTGCCATCTATGTTTTTTTCAGAGGATATTGAAAAGTCTTTGAGTTCGAGATTAAAACATCAGTCAGCTTGCAGCCGGCTGGTTCGATAAACTTATTTGTGACCGGAACTAGCTTGGGCCCGTAAATGTCAGACCAGTTGCTTCGCCCTTATACTATTCTAGGGGTATATCGTCTAGAAATGTATTGGTCCAAACTGTTGTAAAATTATCTCCATATTATCCCGACGCAGGATTATGAACCACATGTAGATGATGTGGTGCAAACATCCCAGTACATTTTTTTTCACATCGATATGAGCCATCGAATTTCTACTATAAATCACTAAATCAGTATAACATATAAGTACCTCTACCTACTTGCAGCCGTAGTTATCTTATTGCAGGTGATAAATACTCAAGCTGCTCGGCGTAGATCTCGTAGACAAAATAACTTGCAGGATATATATATATATACAAATATATACACGGCAAAAACGACTATAAATGTATAATTCTACTTTGTTATTCTATAGAACCTACCTATTATACCTGTTAGTAATAATAATAATAATATGTATAGGCACATGCTACACGGTACGCGTGTATATAATATGCAATTTATCCAACATATTATAAAACTCCACATCTGCAGTTTTTCTCGTCTTATATTTATTATATAGGTACACCTTATACATTATTATGCGAATAAATAAGACGTATATGTATACGTTTGACCGATTGCATAGGAGGTGGAACCTACCAGGAGATTGGCCGAATGCGCGTATACCGAGGTTGCGGTGACCGTGTGGTAGTGGTGGTATATTCTACACGCACGATCACAGCAGCATTGTTCGACCGATTGCGCCGGTGGTGTTGGTGCCGGTGATGGTGGTGGTGGTGGTGGTGGTGGTGGTGATGAATGCCGCAGTGCCTATATACTCTCGACAATTCGATCCGGTGGAATCGCGACGGACGGCCGTTGGTCGGCGGCGGCATATAAAATATCGTCATCGTATACTGAAAATTACGGAAAATTTTATATTCGCCGGGAATAATCGGCCAGCCCGGCCTGAGCCCGCCATTATCTAATATCATGCAATATTGCCATTATAATTATGAATTTTAATGATATCATCGGGCATAATAGCGTATAGTCGGTCCGATTCGCACCGGTCGCGCGCACCGTTTTGGAATCGCCGAGAGACGCACCGACGGACCGTTGTCTCGCCTCCATCGCGCCGCGCACCACCGCGAAAACACTACGCACGCGATACACGGCGTCCGGCAGCTGCTGCAGTGTATACACGCGCACTCGTCAGTCGACGTTTAGATGATCCCGGGACCAGTTAACTTGCCGATAGACACTCGCGGGTCTATTGACAATTTTTTTCGTCTCCGAAATTTTCACTTCGCCTCCCCGCCCGGACGATTGATTTTTTGAAAGAAAATTTTTTCGTTTAATTTAATTTTTCTTTTTTTCATTCGCCGCGAGTTCGATATAAAATTATTAACGTTATTATTATTATTATAAAAAAAATTTTTACTCGGCACCTACACTCATAGGCACAACAATAGTAATAATATCGTTATAATAATTTATCGGAGCGTGGCGCGGGCACGTGTACGGCGACGCGACGGAGGAGATTTTTTTTCGCTATCAGAATAGAAATTTTTTCCCGTCCATCACAGGGCTGGGTACAGTTGTCCCAAACGTGATATACCGCGATATACTCGTATAATAAATTTAATCATTATCGCGCAAGTAGTATTATAAAGACGACGCTGCCGACGACAAATAACTGCGAGTCGAGCAAAGATACACCTCGGCATCGTAGGCATATTATAGACGATCCACGTAATTCCGATCGTATTGTACAACGCACTCTGGTCATCATGAAAATCGTAACGATCTTTTTGAATCGTTTCCGACACGGTAAGTGCCCGACGACACAATATATTCAATCATTTTACAGCAATAATACACTCAAAATATGTACATGCATTATAATTACGTGACCTATCTATGCGTATTAAACGCGTGTGTGTCGTATTACACGTTTAAGCAAATTACTATACTCAGTGGTTAACGTATAGGTATATTATTATACTGTCGTTATTCTGAATCTGCAAAATTTAAAATAGAATAAACTTTACCGATGACGAGTTTTGACGGTTTGTGACGAAAGGCTATGTCTGGATGCTATAGGTAAATCGAAAACATACATTTTCAGATAGTTGAAGAAAAAATGAATTAACATATTATTCTAACGATCGATACGAAATATTTTACGATTATTTTTTTCATTCATCACATTTTCTTTATAAACGTGTACAATAACATGATAATCATTTTATTATATAGGTATTCTCCAAATAACTATGTCTACAATCTACAGTAAACATTACATTATAAATATTTGCAATCTTTTAAATGTACCAAACGTTCAAATCAATTCAAAAAATAAAAGTTAAGCTATAAGTACCTGAATTATTTACAAATCGTACTGATTTAATAACTTAATAAACAAATTATGTAATTTTGATGCGTAAAATGTTTGATAATACACTTTATAATTTAAGAAAATAATGAATTACTGTATCAACTTCTGTATGAACAATGAAAATATTTATGTTTAAACCATATTGTGTTTTATCTTAGCCATTGTTCTTTTGTATTTACATAATTTAGTGTGTAAAATATTGTATAATAATATATTAATATAATAATAAATATATATAAAATATAATATATTCTAATGTCTACCTAACAATAGTTATCAACATATTTTAGAAATTAATTTTTGAGTTTAAGATTTCTGATATAGTTATCAATTTCCTATATTAAATATAGGCATAAAGTTAGAATTCCAAAAATATCTTAAAATAAACACCACCAGATAAGTACCTATGTTGTTTTCTTTGTGGTCATAGCATTTTCATCTAAAATTAAAATTTTTTGTTTATAAATAAATTCTTTAAATACTATTATAGATGGACAATTAAAAACTTAACTCGCGATCAATGAGTTCACAACAAAACTAGGTTTCAGATCAGGTGACAATAGACATTGATCGGGAGCTTTTTCTATTGTTTTAAAAACTGAATGTCAGGGTTGAACATACTAATATTGTATAGAAATTAGAACATGACCATATTTTATAGTACAATCGGTAAATATATTGACATTTTATATTTATACTATCGATACCAAAACATACGTATTAGGTAACCCAAAACGTACCAACGCACTTATTATTTTCACTTGCATAATATTATTCGAACCGCTACACATAAAATCCTTTTTTAGTCGAGTGGTACACGTTTTTAAGTTATTTTTCCACTAGGAAATAATACTCAATTATATAACTTGGTCTACATAATATATTATTATGTATAAAATAAACTTGAGTTTGAAAATCACAATGATAACTTCGTAGTAACATACTAAAGCAATATATAAGTAGACATACGTCTTCAACCTTGCAGTTAGAGCGGTAACGAATGCGTCATAATACTATTGAACTTGAATGCATTTTCAAGTTAGACGAGTACTTAAAGACCTAATACCTACTAATCAAATTATTTTTAAAACATAATATTGAAAAATTAACCCTCGAAAAACTTATATTATCTGCACTCTGCAGTTTCTAATTATTCATTAAATATACATCGTAAGTATGTCCGTATTAAACTATAAACAAATTAAATTAATATTTTATGTATAATAATACAATAACTATTAAAACTTAAAACTTACAGAGTTCATTTTCAATGTATTTTATTTTTCATATTTTATTTTCATTTGTGAATACGATCGCGTTTATAGATACAAAAATAATTTAAGAAAAATATCAAGTTTTATGTGACGGAAACAAAATATTATATTGTATTATTATTGAATTATTCTATTACCCTAAGTATATTGACATTATATTATAATATTGTATATATTATTTATTTATACATGTAGTATAATAGTATAGCTCTCAAAATCACAAAATGTAGCTGCTTGGAAACAACTTCCGGGGGTCTAATTTGTTCTTGACCCATATAATTTATGCTTGACCTGTTATCAAAATATTTAAATAGAAAAAAAAATTGCAATGTTATAATGAGATTTTTTATGGCATTTTAATTTGTACTATGTTAAGTACCTATACATGTCAAATTGACATTATAAAATTGTACATAATACCTAACATTAAAATCTCAAAAATACGTAATAATCATTGTTTGTATAGTCCCAATTAATAATATTATTTTATTACTTAAAGCTGATTCAATATTTAAAATATATTAACTAAATATATATTACCATGTATTAGTACATTTTGGTGTGTCACTACGCTGTCACAAATTTACGACGTTCACAAAATTAATTTACTTTTTAACTTTTTTTAATCATGATATTTTATGGAGTCATATTTTGATAAAATGAAAATAAATTATCTAATTTATATTTGAATAATATTGAAAAAAAAAATCAATTCACCTAGTATCTAACAGTATAAACAACATACGTTTAATATAAAAATTAATTATTATTATTTTAAAATTTACAAAATTATAATACATTTTGCGAACAATTTAATGTTAAAGTTACCTAATTAAAATTCAAATATATTTTATAAATATTAAATATGCATTTGTAAATCAACAATAATAATATTTTAATATATTTGTTTATTTTAAAGTCTACTGGGAATTTAACCATTACCTATACAATATACATACCTAAGTACTGTATAATACCTGCAGCTGTAGTCTAGTTATAATATAAGATTTCAATATTATTGAATTTAAATATTTAAAACTATATAATATGTAGGACGTAGGTGTATAAAGAACATTAGTTAACTGGAGCCGGGAAAATATGTCTCGAGAACTCTAATGAATCACAATAGAATATTAACTATTAGTTATGTTTATCAGCTTATTCGTTAAACGTAAAAATTTTACATCGGTCACTGAACCATTTATTGTTGGTTTTATAGTGATGTATATTTATCTAGCTGGAAAACACATTTGTTAAAGATAAAAGAAATCTTAAAAAATGGCATCCTTCCGGTTCGTGAAAACCGAATGTTAATTAACCCTCGGTCGACCCTTTCGGTGAACCAGTTATGAGATCTGTTTGGAATCATTTTTCAAACACATAAGTTATATAGGTACAAACATTATGAACCATCCTGCAGTGCACATTGTGTAATATTTAAGAAAAAAAACAAAATAGGTTAACATGCTACATATTATCATTCATCGTCGAGCCAAGCAAATTGAGACAAGTTAAACATAGGCAAAATAATAATAATCGGTGTTAAATTGTTGTTATCTACACATTTTATGCGTATTTCATGACCTATACAACTTTGGCTACTATGAAACCACTCGATTATGGCATATTATATATCTGTATAGTGATCGGCGAAATGTATTTACTTTAAGACATAAGTATAATATTAATATAAACATGTATAATACACCCATATAATAAAATCATTCATGTTTTATTTGTACCTGTTAATTAATTGGTTTTTATTTTCAAAGACAAGTTTTTTTTTTCGTTTACCTATATATTTCAATATTTGATGTATGGTGTTGTAATTTGTATGCATTGAGCCTCCCCGCCGGTAAACATAGTTTTGGCATATGTCACTGTCCCAGGAGTCCCTCTAAATATAATATTATACAAAACAGGTTTGCGATCAAGATGAGTTTCATAGCACACCATAGTAAATTCGAGAATAGTACGGTGTACTAACAAGTAACAATATACATTTTTAACACGGATTATTTGCATGAAAAATGAAAAATAAAACTTTATACGAACGTTTATACTTTAAATTTATCACCCGAGGGGAACACAGGTATAATACGCTATATGCATAGGGTATAATATTTGATCAACCTTTCATGTCTTCTTTTCTGCTACGGACTAGCCATGATATCACTGTCCTTCAAAGAGTATAATTATTATTTAAAAAAAAAAATTACTTCCCATATTTTTGTTTTAGTATTTAAATAAAATAGTGATTGTTCATATACGAAATGAAAATGTATACGATCCTAATAATTACAGCCAATATAATATTATTTTGATAAATAATAATGTACAATAATTATGTAATACGTATACCTACATTAAACGTATGTGTATAGAAGAACATATTTCGATGTATAAAATGTATAATACTGTATACTATAGGTAGGTATAGTTAACGATAGGTGCCGAAAGATATTCCGAAAACCGCAGACCTATTATTATTTGGTATTAAGGACGCATGTTGTCGGAGGTGAAAATATGCATGAAACTCATTTAATAGATATTTAATATCATTATTGATACTATCGAAGTGAGTGGCTATTAAGCATACCTAATAAGTAATAAGTAATATTATATGTATAATAGTATAGAAAAACCGAAGGAATCTTTGGGCGTTTGATGTGTAGTCATATATAGATAATGAGTTGGCATTAAAGACAATATATTATCGGCACTTATTGGCACTAGCCGGATACATAAAACATAAAATATCATATTAGATGATTACACCCGGTAAGCGTGCGCTGCTTTTCTTTCCAATATTTTTACCAAACCATCAACAATCCTCCAAAAGTGTTTGAGAGCCTCGGACGAAACAATAACTGAATAACGTGTTTAACCAACTAGTATTTTTTTTTTTATTATAACGAGATATCAGTAGACCGTAAGTAGTTTGGTTTCGCGAAAATCGTGATTGGGGCAAAAAAAAAAAAAAACTACTTTAATAAATCATATGTTTTTGTTTGGTGTTTATTGGTTGTGGGAAAACATGTATAGTCAGACTCGCCGAACTGTAAAGTTATATTCACCAAAATTAAAGCATCGTGGTTGTGCATCGTGCATGTGCAATATTATTTTGTACCAACCATGCTTCCGCCTAGTTCCTATAG